CATAGGCAAGACTCTATGAACTTGATACGCAGTGTCATCCTAATCTCACATAAAGCTGGGAAACAAACATTGGCTGTGGGATACTTTGTACCAGAAAACAACTCAGTGATAGAAAAAAAAATCTTAAATCTCCCACTAATCTCTCTAGCAAACTCTCATTCTTGCTCAGTTGGCACAGTCTTATATTGTGGCTCTCTAATTTTCAACCTAGAAAAGACATCCTTATACAATAAGGCTGTCTGAAGCATCAAATAGATTGAATTCCAGCTAGTTGCACAATCAAGTCCTAATTTCTTAGTATGTGGAATACGCAATTGGTTGACTGTTTCTTCAAATTTTTCTACTCTTTTTGGTGTTGCTGTCCAATAAGCTACACTCTCTCGAATTTTCTCCACACCAACTCGTATGACATCTAATCCATCTTTCACTATCAAATTTAAAATATGCGCACAGCAACGCATATGAAACAAAGTACCACCCAACAAAAGCGATATATTACTCAACTTATCCATTAACATGGTAATCATGGCATAATTTGTGAAGTATTTATCAACAGTAACAGTGGAGATTTTTCTGTTAATATTTCAGTCCATTATACACTCAAGCAAAGTATCACAAAGAACTTCTTTTGTGTGTGGACATGGAACATAAATAAACCTAAAATATGATGTTCATAAACAAGTATTAATATGCAAATTGAACTGAATAAGATAGAATTTTTAAATGATTTGCAAATTTACAAAAATATACCTCAAAATGCGACTTTGCAATGTCCATGAATCATCAATAAAGTGTGCGGTGACAGCCATGAATCCTTTCTTTTGATTGCTAGCAGTCCACATATCAGTTGTGATTGCCACCCTACTTTTATTATGCTCCACCAAACTCAATGTCTTCACCCTCTCATAATCATAAATCTTTAAAATATCACTCTTTATCGTATTTCGGGAAGGCACTTTAAACAATGGTTGAAGTGCTGCTGAATATCGTTTAAAACCAACATGGTCTACGATAGAGAGGGGATATTCATGCAAGATTATGGCATGTGACAACTCTTTCCTAGCAAAATCTTGATCAAAGATATAAGAATTCATTTTTGGAATCTCTCTATTAAAGTTGTTAGTTAACACTTTTTGCCTTATGTCCATCACTTTCTTCCTAGTACAACTCTTATGGTGATCATGCAAATGCCTTGTTCCATTTTTTGAATCACCTCCTAGATGCTTATTACAATAATTACATATTGCCTTCCACACCCCATTGACTTGTTGTTTTTTAAAATGTTCCCACACAACACTTGATTTTCTTTTAGTTCCTCCACAAGTAGTATTAGACTCTTCTAAATCAATAACATTTTGATTAGAGAGGGGAGACGGTGAGTTCATAGGTGCGTTCGTAGGTGGCGATGAATGTTGTGACGCGTCACTCTCAAATGGTACTTGAGAGTTAACGGGTGCTTCAGAGTTAACATCTGACATTTTTAACCTTTATAAAAATAATATGGATTGAATTAATATAAATAAATTAAGTACTCATCATCTTTTAAACAAATTATGACATGATTGAAACAATTAGAAACAGTAGTCTCGTTAAACAAATTAAGTACTCATCATCTTTCTCTTACAAAGAGTAGTGTGATTAGTGGATACATTTTAGGATACATTTTTCTTCCACATGCATATTTTTAAATATTCTTGATGAAGTATAGGGACTGTTTCTTCAATAAACAAACACAAATAAAGGGAGGTTTAATCTTTCATCAAATGTAAATTACTGTTGTTGGACTGAATGTCCAAATTAGACTGCTGCCTACATATATGTCTACACATACACTTTAAACATTTTAAACATACATATATGTCTACACATACACTGTTTCTTCTTTAAGCAAAAGTCAACCCACAAGATAACACAACTTGCCTACAGCATAATACAGGTAAATGAACAATTCTATTTTCAAAGGCAGACTATCGACAACCAGAAGAACTCAGAAACAAACAATCCATACTTTGAAGTTGCTTCCCTACCTCCAAAAAATTATATCCTCAGTATAGTAAGTAGCTCCGTCTACAGAAATAACTTAAATTTCTCCCAACCAAAAACAGCACTAAAACAATTACAAAATTTTCATTCAACTCCATTTGGCTACTGAGGAAGCAAGGAAAAGAGAAGAAAAGAATGCTCATGTTTTTTAAGTTCCAAAAAAAAAAACAAAAAATTCTAAGCCTCAGTTCAATCACACAGAATAATTCAACCAGGTCAATAAGCACAAAATGTCAACTGTGTGATGTAACCCTATAGTTCAAATGTCAAGAAGAAAGTGACTAAAGATGTTTACTAGATTTTTCTTTTCTTCGAATGTTCGTCTTGATTTTCACACTTACATGCAAACTTCTAAAGAAATAGAATACATCAAACAACCTTCATTTACCCTCTTCAAATGATGGAAAATACATTAGAAATTTTAAATTCAATTTGTTTTCAATTATTTGAAAACCAAAAAAGTAAAATGCAACTTGTAAGACCTTCCCTGATAAATGCATACATATTAAATGAAATAAAAGAGCAAGAAGCTCAAATGCCATTTGTGTTAACTAATTCTTTTACAATGGCTTTGTTGATCAGATTTTCTCATCTTTCACACAACAAAACAGATAAAACAAGCCCAAACCTTTTATTTTCTTTCAGTTTCCTCCAGTTTTCCGGTGCCCATGAAAGGGTTATGGAAATTAAACGAATCACAAAATTGTAACAGCAATCCACCATCAACAAGGATCAACAATTGAAAAAAAACAGCCACGTGCACAATGTACATACCAGTCCTTGCACCCCTCACACTGTACCATCAAATCATCTGGGTTATATGGCATTTCACATTTGCAATACCTTCAAAAACAAAACCCAAAAAGCATTGCTTAAGCCACAAACACCATCAACAAAATTTCAATCAAAAAACCAAACATAATAATTTAAAAAATTAAAAAAAAAAAAAAAAAAACACTCACAGGTGAGGAGGGTCGCCGGTGAGGAGGATCGCCGGTGAGGAGGGAGAGACCAGTGGCGAGCTGCGAAGAGAGGGAGAGGAGCGCCGTGTGTGACAGTGTGAGAGGGAGTTTGGTGTGGTGTCTGAATGAAAGGAACCCTAATCAAATACAAGCATATATGATATATATATATATGCAAGGACAAAATGGTAATTTCGTCTCGGGGAATTAGCGGGGCGGGGCCGGGGCCGGGGAGCGGGGCCGGGGCCGGGCCGGGTCCGGGTATGAAACATCTATCCCCGTCCCCGGCCCGGATATCATCGGGGATGAAATTTTAAATACCGTCCCCGGCCCGTAGGGGATATTTTTCGGTGAATAACCATTAAATTCGGGGACGGGGGTCGGGTCACCGTCGGGCCGGTTTCAGATTGCCATCTCTAAAGGTGCCTTATATAGGCTTAAATTGAGTAATTAATTAATTAGGCTTAATTGGGCATTAATTTTCCTATTTTAATCGTTCCGAATCGAATTTTAATTAAACCTACCATAATGTTCCAAAAATTCCAAATAACACATAAATCAAGTCAATTTCTGAATCGGATGCCGATAAGACTTTCAATTCGCAAATCAAAATAGAAACATAAACAGATTTTTCTACGTTAAACAGATATAAACACATATAATGCAACCACATGTAATTAATTCATAATTTGATCTTAATAACTTATTAGACATATGAATTCATGGATTAACATTAATCATGGATCGGGGTTGTTACAGTCTTTCCCTCTTAAAGAGTTTAGTCCTCTAAACTTGAATTACCTTTATCTTGGAAGAATACTTGGTCCAAAGGAAACAGTTCAGGGTATCTTTTTATCATATCTTCCTCTATTTCCCAAGTTGCATAGGTTTCCCCATGATTCTGCCAATCAACCTTCACTAACGGGATTTCTTTGTTCCTTAATCTTTTGATTCAGCGATTAACAATTTGTATTGGCCTCTTCTCATAAGTATAGTCATCTTTCAAGAGCACGTGTTGGTTCGATGACATGTAATGGATCTCTTAAATATTCTCGAAGCATAGATACGTGAAAAACATTATGCAAATGCTCCATAATCGGAAGTAAGGCTACTTGGTATGTTATCGAACTGATATTCTCGAGAATTTCGTATGGCCCAACATATCTTGGTGTTAACTTGCCCTTAACGCCAAACCGGGTTTGCCCTTTCATTGGAGTCACTTTCATGAACACAAGTTCCCTAACTTCGTATTCTCTATCTCGCATTTGGACATTTGCATAGCTTTTTTGGCAGTTTTGTGCAGTTTTCAACCTTTGTTGAATCAATTTCACATTTTCAGTTGTTTCTTGTACAAGTTCTGATCCCAATAACGATCTGTCACCTACCTCAGCCCAACAAATAGGAGAACAACATTTTCTTCCATACAAAGCTTCATATGGAGCCATCCCAATACTTGAATGATAGCTGTTGTTATACACAAATTCGGCCAAAGGAAGGTAAGTCTCCCAATTGCCTTGAAAGGCTAACACACACATCCGTAACATGTCCTCCAATGTTTGAATGGTCCGTTCGGATTGGCCATCTGTCTGTGGGTGATAAGCACTGCTTAGTCTCAGCTCAGTCCCTAAAGCTTGTTGCAAACTCTACCAGAATCTCGAAGTAAACTTGGGATCTCTGTCAGATACTATAGATACTGGAACTCTATGTAATTTCACAATCCCATTGACATACAAATTAGCTAACTTATCTACATTATACAAAGATTTGACAGGTAAAAAGTGAGCATATTTAGTTAAACGATCAACAATGACCCAAATAGAATCCATACCTTGAGAAGAATGAGGCAGTCCGACAATGAAATCCATAGTAATATGCTCCCACTTCCATTCTGGTATTGGAAGCGGCTGAAGTAATCCAGCGGGTTGTTGATATTCAACTTTAACTTGTTGGTAGTGCAAACATTTAGCCACAAAGTCGACAACGTTTTTCTTCATTGCAAGCCACCAAAAGTTCTGTCTCAAATCATGATACATTTTTGTGTTCCCCGGATGCATGACAAACTTGGAGTTGTGGGCTTCAGTTATAGCATGCTTTCTCAAATCAAAGGAATCTGGTACACAAAGTCTATTCTGAAATTTCAACACATTATTCTCAAACACAAACCCCGGCATCGGTTTTGAGTCAAATTCTTCCATAATCTTTTTCAAGAAATCATCTTTAAGTTGATTCTCTCTAATTTCTTCAATGATTGTGGGTTGAGCAGAAATAGCAGCTAAGATTCTGGCTTGTTCGCGTAGTACAACTTCAATTTCATTTCTTTCTAAGTTGCATATCAAGTCTCTCTGACTGGTGAGTAAGCATGACAATTTACCCATGGATTTACAACTCAAAGCATCAGCAACTATGTTTGCTTTTCCCGAATGACACAAAAGCTGCAAGTCATAATCTTTAATCAATTCTAACCATCTTCGTTGTCTCATGTTTAGTTCCTTTTGGGTGAAGAAATATTTCAAACTTTTATGATCCATATATACTTCATAAGTCACACCATACAGATAATGTCGCCAAATCTTTAAAGCAAAGACGACAGCTGCCAATTCAAGGTCATGAGTTGGGTAGTTCTTTTTATGTGGGCGGAGTTGTTGAGAGACATACTTGATCGATTTCCCATTCTGCATTAATACACACCCTAAGCCTTTGTAGGAAACATCGCTATATATTTGGAACCCATCGGTCCTGTTGGGTAATGTTAGAATTAGTGCAGTTATTAATCTAGTCTTTAGTTCCTAAAAGGATGATTCCCACTGTAGACACCCCAGTTTTGACCGACCTTAAGACTCAGACGTCACCGATTGAGTGCTCGCGGCTGTGAGCCCTGCCTCTGGATTTTCGAACCCTCTTCTGTGCCTTGCCTCGGTTTGCGAACCAGACTCAGTTTTCTCTGTTTCTTTTCCTGAGGGGAGGGAGAGGTCCCGTAGACCATCTCTCAGTGGCCGTGGGCTACATTTTGTGGCTGTAGGCCATTTTGCCCATTTCGGAGCCCTGTTCCCGATTTTTCGGAGCCGTTGGCTGTGTGCCTCGGTTCGGGACCGCTTAACCATCTCCGTTTGCTCCTGTTTCTGGCATACATCATATTTACTCCCTTTTGAGGGACACTGAGATCTGAGAGACCCACTTCGTGGTCGAATACCACCTTCGGTGCTTAACAGGCAGTTTTCGGGGCCCCGAACTGCGCGTTCTGGCCCCCCGAACATTCGTTTTGCATCGGTTTTCGTTCATTTTTGGAAGGTACCTCTGTTTCATCACCAGGAAGGCCGTAGAAGGGTGGGAGGCCAGCAATTGTTTCAGCAACCAGTTATATTCCTCCGGCGTAGATGACCTAAGATGTGAGCATGCTTTTCTACCTTTTTATAGCTTAGTTCAAGCATGTTTTTGGCTTTGTTTTGACATGCTTCAACTCTGTTTTTGTTTGGTTGGAACACTTCTTGCTTGCTTTTCGTACTTGTAGTGCAATCATGCTTACTAGCCTAGCATATTTGATGATTTAGCCTATTGTTCTAGCTTGTGTTAGCTTAACTCCAGCACATTTTTGCT